GTAGACAAGACTCACTCTTTAGTCTGGAGTTCTAGGTAGGCCTAGTTATGAGGAGGAAAAAGACAATCTAAGCAACCTATCATTGCCTCCTTATTTATGGAGACTTGCTTCCTTTCATTTATATATTAAGGGGAGGGGGGGTGTTGAAACTAAGCAATCCAGTTCAGAGGACTGATTGAGGGAACTGATCTGATCTATGTTGCTCTGAAAGTGTTTCAGTCATAGTGCTCATACCTGGAGCAAAAGTCAAAACAATAGCATTGTCCTTTCATAATGTAGCATGGAAAAACATAAATGGTTATAACCCCCCCCCCTTTTAAGAATAGGAAAGCTACAGAGGCACAATATGGCAGGTTCACAGAAATTAGTAGAATATGTTTTCAATTATGCTTTTTATTTTTATTTTTCAGACAGAATACAATCTCTCTCAACCCTCAGGATATTTTCATCTCTTAAGAGGCATCCTGAGAATTGCAAGGATCACTCTAGTTTGAGGACAAATCCATTAGTTACAGAATCCAGTGTTCCCTTTTTTCATTTGGCCTTGAGATCCAGGCTTGGCCAAATCCAGTGTATCGCTCTATCATGTAACTATTACCTAGATGTTGTGGGATCTTTCTGGATTCAACCAGAAGCAAACCAAGCTGCCATCTGGATAAGCATTTGCTCATTCAGTTCTTTCTTCTTAATAGAGTGAGTCAGCTTGGGCACTGGAACTAGTAGAAGAGTCAAATAATGAAATGTGTGTGATCACATCATCATGTAAACACAACTTACTGTACTATTGTCAGACATCTGAACACAAGTACATAATTGCAGCATTTGCCTGATGACTTCACTATGTACCTATCATAAATTTGGCACCATTTTGGTTGCTGCTACAACTGATAGTAGAAACAAAGAAAACATTTTACATACTCCCTCAAGAAAATCAGTCCCAGAGGTCTAGGGATGGAGGTAGGAGAGAGGGACAGTTGATAGGACCCACTAAACTCTTTGAATAATTAAATGAAAAGCAGCAGTCTAAAGCTTTGAAAAAAAGGAATGAAAACGACTATGAAAGTTTTAAAACAATATTGTCGTTCTTTCAAAATAGATATGGACAACGTGTGAGCCTAGCACTGGATGTGGCTTGTGGTCTCATTTCAAAATTGCTGAGGAACCTCTGGTAAGATGTATCTGTTTCTTCCTGCAGCACAATGGCCCCACTGCTTGCTTACTTTAATCCTGCAGATCATAAGGCCTGTGCAAATTACCCCTGAACAAATGCAACTCTTATCAGAAAGAAGACTGCCCAGCCCAGTTTTAAAAGGAGTCAAAGAAAAGCATGATGGAAATTACCAAGAGGATATTCCAGATCAGTTCTTCAGAAGACTGTCTCTTTCTTGTTTACTTGCCTGATATGACAGAGGAATTATCTTATAGCAACTGTACTTAGTTACACTGACAACATAAATATTCCCTCAAGCCAACCTCATCTTTTGGGAGCTATATGGACATGCCCATATGACTTTCTTGGCACCACATGGAAAAAGTTTACCGTTGTCTTTTGGTTTCTCTTTGCCTAGTCAACAGTCCTGGGATTTTCTATTCACCCCATCTAAGTATTAAACTGGTCCAATTCTCCTTAGATTGTTTGGGGACAACTAAGTTCATTTAGGTGCAGCCACTGAATTGGACTTACTGAATTTAAATTATCTCAAATTTATTTTTTGTTCTCACCCTGCTGTTTTTTTGTTTGTTTGGAGTTCAGGCTTGATATACAACTGAAAACCATTAGCCACCAAATTGCACAAATCTGTTTTAAAGAAATGTGATGTTTATGGCATACGTTTGAAACATTCATTTCTTATTTACACAACATCCTTAGCAAGCAGTAAGGCTTAAACCAAACTCTAGTTTTCTCAAGATCACTTTTCAGCTGCAGTAGGAAGATACTCTACAATTTACCCATTTTCATATTAATTCTGTAGCCTTTTTGGCATTTTTATTACATTCACAATTCTATACTCTCACAATCATGCATGCTCAAAGATTCTAGAGTCCTGATCTCACTAATCTGTCAGAAGAAACAGCAGCCCAGAGGCTCATCTAAACTATAGATTGTTCTAAGCTCTCTGGGGGTCTAAATATAAAAGGCATAATCCATAAAAGGACAACTTTGAAAGGGGCATGCCTGGAACAATGACCCATATTTTTTTCTTTATTCAAGCCCCGGTACAAAGTCTGTACATGTTCCTGAGGCCCTTTCATCACAGAAAACTTTGGATAAGGCTTATTCCCAGCCTGATAGAAACTCAAGCAAAGGAAACTAAATGTGGAATGCAGAGGGAGGGGGAAGAAATTGGGGGGGGGGAGTTTTTTTTCCTGTGTTGGTAAAGAAAAAAAACAACATAGTGTGTTATTATGTAGTTCTTAAAGGAAGTAATCCCTGGGAAGCATATGTATTTAGCAGCAAATTAGTGTTGACATTTGTCTATGTTTCAATCAGATCTGGTTTTTGGCATCATTATCTGTATTTTTAACATGCTGTGAAGATTCACTTTACCAGCTGCCTTGCTGTGTTGGGAGATGTAATACATTCCTCAATCCTTACTCAGAGGTCAGAAACTCACAATTATTTCTGTATCAGGAAACAGGAAAGAAAACCAGACTTTTAGAATTTGGAATTTATTTTTTTCATTATCTGAGAAGAAAATGCTTTAAATAAGTATGAAGAATAATGATGGTGAATCATTTGCTAGGGTCAACGTGCACAGCAAACATCAGGGTGGTTGGCTAAATGATCAATATCACTTTTTCTTGGCTTCTCAAATATGAAATAAATTTGGCTTTTGGCCTGACACTTTTATATGTAGTGACTGACATATTTCACTATTGGTTCATTTAAACAAACAAAAAAGTCTGCTGACCAGGGTCAAGATTGTAATCTGAGATATCTACCTAGGATGAGTATGATTGCCCTCATCTGGTGCAATGGTTGGTTTATTCATTTATTTTTACATCACATCTTTCAGTTCTGGGGAATAGGCAAGGCAGCTAACAGCATTTAAAGGACAAGAACAATATGAACATTTTAAAATGCAGATCAGAATTAACACTAAATTAGTAAAGTTGTTGAACAATTAAAAGCTTGGTGAAAGGGATGTGTCTTCAACAGATTTTCAAAACACTCTTTTATGAAGTCTTTTCTATTACATAGTCGAAATGTGTCTTCTATCACTTAAACCGATTTTTCTGGGTTCTGCACTCTGGAGTAATACAGACTGTGCCTTTCTCATGTGACATCCATCCAGATACTTGAGTGCTGTCCTCCTCAGTCTTTCCAGAGCTAAACATTCCCAGTTCCGTCACTTATTTTCACAGGACTTTTTACTTTCTTTCTTGTTCTTGTTGCCCGTATCTGAGTTTAAGTCTGTCTGCCCAGAATGGACACAATAGTTGACGTGGAATCTATCCAGTGTAGAATAGAATTTTTCTTCCCATGATTTGGTGAACTAGACTGCTGTTGATGCAGCCTAAAATTCTATTTTTTTTCTTTTTTTACAACCACATTGCTGACTTGTATTCATTTTTAATCAATCACTGTTCTAAGTTTTTTTTTCATTTCAATGTTTTCTGTTGTTGAACCAGATCTCCTCCATTTTGTACTTGTGTTTATCTTCTGTCTCCCGTTGCTCTGCATTAATGTTGTGACTTGCTTTTGCATAGCTCTCACCAGTTGTCTATTACTTACACTACTAACCATATTCTGCTCTAATTTTAGATTTTGATGATTAAAGTGATTACAAATTCATGCTCCTCTGCAATGAGTGAGAGATTAAAGACGACTGATGAATTTTACATTCTAAAGCCATCAATTTTGCAAAACCTTTACAACTGTGCACAACTCTTACAAAGCATGCTATGTTAATTATAGGACATTAGGAGAGCTGAACTGGCCTAGGCAACAATGCTGCTATGAAATTAAGGTTGAGATCTCAAAACCATGTGTCTGTTATTTATCAGTCATAGTAATAATTATTCAATAATTTTAAAAAATTGTGGCCAAGGGAACATTCACCGTTATTTTAAGCATTCCCCCAAGTACCTTTTTAGAAAATATCACAAGATCTTCAAAATGTGTAAAGACTTTTCCATATTCACTTCCTAACATAATTCATTCACACTGACTCTTCACGTATCGTCTAGCTTTGGTACTTCAACCAGTATTCTGAGGGATGGGAATTGAATCCCCCTCATCTCCCAGAGTTTGTCACAGTGACGGTGTTACCTAGATAGTCACAGCATCAGCAGAAGTCAGTGATGGTAAAACAAAACGTAACTTGTAGAATGTTTTTCCCCCTAGTTGGTTGAATTTACATGACCCAAGTCTCAGGCATACATGTGTGCAGGCCCCACCAAATTTTCCCCATTGTGTATGCAGGTAGATGCTTTGTTAGTTGGTCTTAATTCCTTAATTCCCTTGTCAGAGACTAAATGGAAGCTACTGGAAAAAGGATGGGGGGGGAGAGAGAGTGGGAGAAGATGGCTGCTGCCTATATAACCAGGACAGCCCTTGTTTTCTTCAGTGGTACAGGATTTTAAGCTAATTCATGGTTTACCCATGGTTTGCGCCTGACTAGGTCAGGGTGTGTGGTTTTGCTTCAGCATGTCATTAAATACAATCTTAGGTCAGTATTATCCTCTCCATTAGTCAGCAGATAATTAAATTATTAAAACGGGATGTCTAGATGGGAGCATGAAGGTACCAGCTTTGAACCTGAGCCTTGTGTAGATTAAAACAATTAGCATACCTGTCTGTAAATGTCTGTCATGGGAGTAACCTTCCCTAGAGCCTGAAGATAATTATCTTTTTATCAATAACTGTTCCCAACATATCCTCTGTTTTGTAAGCAGTATGTTTCTCACAAGCTGTATCATCAAGCATAACCAAACCGATTTTCACAGTATTAACATGAACTGAATAAAGGAAAGAAACAAAAATCCAAACAACAGGGTAAGAATAAAGTTTTAAACTTTATTCATCTACTTGGTTTGAGTACAACAGCAATGTAGATTATAGTGGCATCAGGGTGACATTTGCAAACAGCATGAACAGCAACAATGGCCAATGTTCATTTTGCAAAGAAGCAGATTTAACTCTATCAACAGGCATTGGTGACTTTCTTTTTCAACAAAGGCTCTTAATCAGAGCTGTTCCATAACCAAAAAAAAAAAAAAGGTGGGGGGAGAGACAAACAAAAAGGGAAATTCTGAAAAAGGCTTTTTCTCAGTTCTGAAAATGGGCTGGTCATGGGAAGAATGGATAAATTAAAACCTTGAGATTTGAAGCAAAATATATTTAATTAAAGTGATGGTTCCTAAAAATCAGGAATATGGCTTCATCACTATAAAGATTGTCAGTAATTTAAGCTACTGTATAGCAAATACTGCTATTAACAATACACAGTATAACTGAATAAACAGGTTCTTCTCTAATCTTGGTGGCTGAGAAATAGCCTAGTATTCAACCTTTACCATCTGACTCAACTGGGTCTGATTTGGGGTCATAAATTACTTTGCAAAATATAGTGTGCAAATTAGTGCTCATTCCCCTTGAAGAAACAGAACCAGGCAGGGCTACCAGATCTGGACTGCAAAAATCACTAGATGCCAATAAAGAGATTTTTAAATATCTTATCCTTCTAACTCATGGTTCACCAGATTCTTGTAACCCAAATCTGATAGCCTTAGATTTGGATGTAAGATCTATTCTCTTGAAAATCTTTACTCTTGAAGAGGGATTTGCCATGAATTTACCTTACAGCAGCAAAACTCAAGTTTTAGTGGTTTTAGATAGAAGCCACTGGAAAACAGTGATCAAACTCATGTTGGGTCATTATTTTCACACATGGATGAATACCCTAAGCATGCAGTACTAAACATATTCATTCCTCCCTGTTAGAAATAATTTTTCACAGTGAAGGAAACATCTGGAAGATCCTTTTTCATATTTTTTGACTTTATATTTGGAATTAAGCTATGCTTATTTGACAGTCTTTGTAGAGTTGTCACTATTTTTCCAAGCAGGAAAAAAAAATTCTAACAGCTCTGCTTTAGAAAGCAATTTAGCTGGTTGTAATTTCTTCACATTATATTTCTGCTACAGAGTGAGAAGATGGCATTCTTGAAACATGAAAAAGGGTGTGAACCAGAATATCTACCTCTTTAGTAGATATTAGAAATGCAGAAGAAATGCATAAAAGAAGAGTGGGCATCATAAAATCTCTTAGATAAGCACCAATAAAATCTCCTTCCGGAGATTATTTTTTTCTCGCATAGAAAGTTTCTGAAGCTTTTTTCCCAACACTACAAAGGTGAGTTGAACAATATATAAGTCCTTCATAATGATAATCTGCATTTTGCAGTGCTTCCACAGTGTTTATTCTGCAATAGCCATGTGTTGCTTACTCATATTTTTGTTTGGCATTTACCTGCATTTTTAAGATGTGGTTTTGCTGTGTGCAATAATTTATCAAATGAATTTCTACATCACTATCCATCTATTCACCACAGCTTTGGTATTACTCTTTCCATCAGTGTACAACTGAATTAATGCTTAAAAAAAAAACCTTAAAATTTGGGCTAAAATGTCTTTTTGGATACATATAAGGTGGGGGATGGGGATGGTGGTAAGTAGGAAGTTAGATAACTGAATTATTTGCACAATACCACTTCAAGTCATTTTAGCACATTTTTAAAAAAATGATAGAAAAAGCTCAGTTTTTCTAATCAGCTCCATTTTAGCACCACATTAAATATGCTTGCTGGTCTTCTGTCCTTTATATTTATAGTGAGACCGTTTTTAGCCTGCCTTTAAAAAATGAATAAGGTGATTGGGAAATAGTGTCCAAAATAAATTGTACTTCCTCACAAAATAAATAAAGCATTTTAAAAGAATTATTATTCTGACATAATTGTCAGCCTTATTACATTGGTATGTCATGCTCACATGTTGGCAAATAATTGTGGAACACGCATAACACACATTCATTAACGTATAGAAAGACAATTGCAATTTCATATGCATTTTGCAACAGAAGAGTACAATTACTGATTAATAATGCTGGGAATTGTTATTCTGGAAGCATCCACATCATCTCTAAGTTTTCATTTGTGAATGGCTTTTTTTCTGGAATTACAGACCAGGACTGGTCAGGGATAAAATAACTGCTCAATCATGGATTCATCTGCACTTGAAAAGGGGGGGGAAAAACCCTATTTTTTGTTTCAGAGTGTAAGAGAGATGACAAGGTACTTTGCAAAGCATTGGAATGATGTCTTAACTAGCCATTTCTCTTAAAGGAGGTCTATTTACAAGGAATATATTACTTTCTGAAAGTTAAAAAGTGGCGTTATTCTTGGAATAATATGTGTGGAAAGTGAGAATATAGAATTCAGGTTTCATTAGGTCAAAGCTGATTGGCTAATCAAGAATGAGAGGGAACACTGGATTTTCTTTCTGGTTGGAACCAATAAATGCTTGGCTTCCTGGTCAGTTTGAAGCATATGTGGAATGATTTCAAATAGCAGCCATGCTGTAGGTTACATCTCTTACTGCTCAGCTTAGGAAAATGCAATTGAAGAATGAAAGGTTATGGAGATATCATTCCTTGGGGGGGGGGGAGCAACTGTTCCAATTTTCAAGATATAAACATCCTGAATAAAAAAAGAGGAAGCCCAGATATGGCCTGCTGTTGGCTAATTTGATGCACTGCAATCAGGATATGCTGCTTTAATCCTTTCTGTGCACCAGATACAAATGTCTATCCAGAGCTCGTTGTACAAAAGCACTGAACCAAGGACAAAAAAGCAGAAAGGATGCCTAATCACACAGAAACCGTTGATGGGTTGAAGCAACAGCATGTACAGGGAAGAGGCAGCCCAGCTAGCTCTCTTCAGTTGATTGGCTTCCAGTCCAGAATTTGCTTTTGGGATAAAGGCCCCATTTCTCTGATAAACAGCGCATTCCTTTGTAAATCACTCATCAAATTGTCCTCTTGGCTAAATTATAGCTAGTTTAATAGGCCAGTCGAATACATAATTACAGAAAATTACAGAAATGAAACACAGCTACATGTTGTCACTTTAAGGTTTTCTTGACCCTTCTGACTACTGCTACAATTTGTTTTAATTGATAATATTGCTTGAGATAATAGGACAGAATTAGAAAGATGAAAAATGTCATATGGCATGTCTGTCCCTCCCCTCCTGAGATATTTATTTTTCTGATTCCTAGACATCCTCCTCCCACTATTCCTCAAGAGTGCCCTTCAGCTATTTTGGATTTCAATTCCTAGAATATCAAGCAAGCAACACTAATCCTGAGATGGGAGGTTGGAAGGCATCAGTTTGGGGGAAGCTGTGCATTAGGCTAAAGAGAAATTTTCTTTGGCCAGGTGATAAATTCCCATAAACAATAACATGTCACCAGTATGATCATGCCACTCCTCTCTTCCTCCTATTTGCAATATTTTTTATTTTCAGCATTTGTCAGAGTTAACATTTTACATGAATTCTGCCACACAACCTTCTAAACATCTGTACCAATGTGCTGAAAATCATCCTTATCATTTTGTATATAGGCTGCAAAAATCACTAAATGGCAGCAAATAAAACTCTTCACTCTTTGCTTCCACATAGTGGTCCCCAAGATTTTTGCAGACCAGATCTGGTAGCCTAATTTAGAGGGATAATACAAATAGGTTAAGTAAGAGCAAAGAGATCAGCCATTAGTATCTTGATCACCTGTTATGGATTCAGATAGTATGGTCACTGGAATCCACCTATGCTTAGCTCTGAAATGTAAGAGCAAAAAATACCACTTTCTGCATAAACCTTATACTGATAGGAATTACTATCTAAACAAGGGAAGAGACAGGGAATCTGTAGCCTTACAGATATTGCTGAATAACATTCCCAAGTGCTGGTCCCCATGGCCAATGGTAAGAAAAGCTGGGAGTTGGGGTCTTGCAACATCTGGAGAGCAACAGGTTCCTCATCTATGCTATACAGACTTACTAGAAGGCAGGCTTCATTGAATTTAGTGGATTTTTACTACTAGATTAGTATAAACTATTGTATATACACATACAGGATTATACTGTAGGCAGAAACTGCACATTAAAAGAGAAAAAGTAAAAATTTATATAGTGGCAGTCATCACTCAGGTAAAAAATTAATATATCACTGCACCCTATTGTTGGTCAAAAACAGCTTCTGATTCTATCAAAGTAAATTTTATGTGTCCTTTACAGAAGATGCACAACCTACCAAGCAATTTAGGTAGACAGAGGCCAGGTCACACAATATTTTCTAAAAAAAGGCTGCATGTAGCTGAGCGGATCATTTGATTCAGAAACTGCCCAAGGTTTTTTTTTTTTCCCCAGGCACTGATAGTAAATAAGAAGGGAAAAAATATTTGCAACTCTGTAATAGTAAAAGAACACAAAATTCAAGTCTTCTTATATGAATGAGTGTTTGATTACATGAAGAAAATCAAATTAAACATAGTTTATCATGAAATATTGTGCAATATTATCAGTGCATACAAGAAAATAGCTTGAACGGTCACTGTTTAGCAGCAAAGTCACTCTGTATAATAGTTAAAATACCATAATAAAATTCAGAGTTCACTATTCCAGTAGATGTTTTTAAAAATTCAAATGTAACCTTTGCAGTGGGATGGAACTAGGTATATGAAAAATACTGTTCCAATCCTGGAACAGGCTATATTGAGTACTCTGAAAGTGTCCAACCTCCACTGGGATTGGATGTGACTTGCTTGGTATCAGCTGATCTCACCAAACACTCTTCACCTTTCAGCTTCACAATAAGGATGACAGCATGGTTACTTTCAATGCTACCTATGCTAGATCCTATGAAAGTTGATCATGTATCAGATCCTGCAACATATGGTAACACCATGAAAAGAGAACTGGAGAGCTTCAAAGTTCATACAATATTTTGTGCCTTTTGGTTGACCCTAATAAGACATTGCCCTAGTACAGACCTTTTTTTTCCTGGACCAACATGATTAATATTGTTTATTTTAACGTGAAAAGTACAAACATCAACACATTGGCCCACACAGTGCTTACTTTCAAGCACAATCAGAGCAATGTATGATCATACTATGTCATAGTGATTCTCACACAGCAAAGGTCACATCTAAATTAAACCTAAGATTGCATTTCACTATGGCTTACATTTAACATGACAGTTGAAATAACGTCTTCACAATTAAACTAAGAAACCAATTTTTGGTTTACTTGCTTGCTGTTCTTGTTAATTTTCAACCAAGTGGTTTAAAGCAAGAAATATATTCGGTTAATGCAGGAAAAGATGGAGGAACAAAGAGTTTCAACAACAAAACATGGCAATTTACTACCAGATATGTGCAAGTGCAAGCTGGGAGCTTGTTCTCAAAGAATTTGGCCAGTACACAGCAGAATAAAGTACCTCCGTTCAGCAGCCTGTTTTATTGATGGGTACTGCGGAAAGAATAAGCCATTTGACAATAAGGCCAATTAATTGTAATAGCTGTGCCCAGAGGATAAATATATTACACAGGACTCCTTCCTTAAATACAGAATATATTCATTCATTGCTTGGAAAGTCCATGACCACATAATTGTGGGCTGGCATCCTATGGGCACTTCCTGGGTCTTCTCAATTATTGTCCTTGACCTTTGAATAAAAGTCAAGGGGAAATGAGGAAGGCAGAAGACTAAATATATACGCCATGTAAAAACTTCATGAGTGAAAACCATGGCTGAGATTTGAACAAAGAACCTTTCATGTCACCATCTATGGCAAGCTTGACAGGCCATTGCACAATCTCAAGACATTAATAGGTGCCTTTCTCAGATTGTCCCTTTTCCCCCTCCCCACCTTTTTGAGTGTTTGCTCTCCAAAAAGGGTTTGGACTTAATTATAATATATTATCCTATTACGTGAGATCTTTCCCCTCCCAAGGACAGAAGAATTCAGAAGAGCTTGGCTTTCTTCTTCATATCGTTGCGCCTCCAGAGAGGTAACTTATCAAATTCCTGTATTGTCATGCCAAATATTTCTTGAAAAACCTCAGGTGCTAAATGACGCTAAAGAAAGACAAGGAAGAAGTACAGCCATCACTCCAGTGGTAGAAACAAGAAATCTATATACCATAACATTGCCCTCAGCATATTAGATCTGATATACCCTTAGCCCAAACTTGCATTTGGAGACTAATTTTTTAATTTTGTTTGTTTCCCAGAGATTTTTACATGGAAGTAAGATCTACCTTAGCTCCAACAGAATGCTGTGAGCACCGGTTGAAGGCCAGTATCGTACAGAACTATGGGGCCTTCCTGGATTTTTTTTTTTTTGGTTCCCAAAGCATTCAAGAGCAGATGAAGCCATTTTTGTTTTTACCCTTAGGGCAGTGTTGTCCAAACTTGGCCACTTTAAGATGAGAGGACTTCAACTCCCAGAATTCCCCAGCCAGCAGGGCTGGCTGG